AAACAGGTGCCGAGTTTAAATGGTGGGGCCTCGCACATAAATTGACAGCCCCTTACACATACAATCGCATGTAAAGCCGTTGCTTTTTATGGAGTGAGAGACAAGCTACGAAGAACATTGTTTTTACGGCTTGGACTACGACAGGCTTGGGTATTTATGGAATGATTTGCATACAGATCGGTGACTGAAGGCAGCCCTTTGTCTCCGACACACATGTCACGTAATAAGCAAACACTGCAAACTCACTCAAAGCCAACAAACGTAACAGCCTGTCCCGTGCAGAGCAAAACATGATCACCTCAGTCTGCTAGCGTGCCAAGCCGGTGTTCAGCTATTTCTGTGTGCTTTGCACCGTCATGGAGCCGGGGAGGTGCGATCGGTTCCGTTAGAACCACGCCCACCGAGCGGCGACGATATACGTGGGAGGGGCGGCGTGGTGCTGGAGCGCCGTGCAGCCAGACGTGCGCACCCATATATCTCGCCAAACAATGCAGTAATAAGCGTGACCAACCGAAATACAATGACAGACGTCAGCAACGTCTGTACAGTGGAACCACGAGCGTATTCTCAACAGTCCAACTGCAAAAGTCCGGGAAGTGTGCGCCCTGTGATGCTCTCGTGCGTGGGGCGGGCGTACGTGCGTCTCGTGCGTGGGGGGGGGGGGGCGTGCGTGCGTCTCGTGCGTGGGGGGAGGGGGCGTGCGTGCGTCTCGTGCGTGGGCGTGCATTATGCCTTCCCGTCCATGGTTGCGGGCTTTCAAGTGTCTCATATCACCAACTTAGCACCTAAAGTCGACAGCCATATCGCAAAATTGTCTAAGGGCAATATTCATTTGGGGGGGGGGGAGACATGTTACAACAAATATCGAAGACACTGCAAATGAAGTTGGAAGGTGAAACCCGTTCAGTATCGGAACCGGTGTAATTCGTTTTGTTTTCTGGCAAATACCTAGCCGCGAGTACCGAGTAAACCAGTAAACGCATGAAGTGTGGTAACGGTGATAACTGCCGAGCCTTTTAGACAACACGAACAAAGTTGTTTCGAAGGGTGCTGTAATAATATCAACTGAAATAGGATGCGGCAGCCGCGCTGGTCTCCGTCCTCTGCCAGCGGGCATACGCTACCTGGCCCCCAGGCGCATTGTCAAGTGGCCTGAGTCATGGTGCGAAGCACTTTGCCGCTGGCGGGACCCCAGTTCGGCTGACTTCGACGGGGAAAGTGCGCATGCAGCCAGTCATCACTTAATGAGGTCACTGATCTCTTAATCTTTACCCCGAGAAGGATGCAGCGATCAACATGGAGGTCGCTGCATCCTCCGTTTGTGCCTCACGCGGTCGAAAGTCGCTGCATCCATACAGCGATCGGATGGGGAAGATGGGATGGGCATCGAATAGTTGAGCATGTATCTTGATTTATAGCTGCATTTACTCAAAGAGCCGGGAATAGTCGTGCACGGACGTACGTGCTAAATGAATCAGCTCTGTTTAAGATCGAGTTGCTAGAGAGAAAACTGACGCAGAGAGGAGTATTCGGGGATTTACAAGTGGTGACAACAACTCAGAAAATCTTACCCGGTTGCGAATCCCGGTAGAGCTGTGTCATTAATATGATTTCAGTAGCCGCCATCGCTTCATAAAAGAGTGCCCGACGACATGTGTTCCGCTTCTTTTATATAAAAACAACACTGCAAACAACATGGTATGTTCTGAATCTGTTACGTTCACGTGTCTATCGCGAATTTGTAATTGCCGACATTAAATCACCTACACATCGGTGCAGCAATGTACTTCGAAGGAGGGGGGCGAGGTAAGTGCCAACGAGAGCGATTACGTGAGTACATCTCGTCTGATTGTAGCTGGGTTTGGGGCGCTTCGACTGTCAGTTTGCGTCCAAGTACACCTCCTCTAACGAATGCTGTGTAAGGCACTGAAGCCACCAAACGACATGTGCTCTGTCACATGATTGCTTGCATGTCGGATGTGTTCTGCAGCTGATAAAGGTAGGATTGTTTGAAAATATTTGGAGATGTGCTGGTTGTTTGCAATAACCAACCCATTCAGAGCGTAATTAATCAATTTGAGCCACAACTACGTCCGGCCATTGACCTGGACAAAAATCCCACTAGCGCCACCTATAATGACACACAAGGTTTGCCGCCCGGCGTTGTACGCTCTCCTGTCCTCACCCTGGTAAAAGAAATTGGGCGCTTGAGAAATCGTGATATATTAAGCCATGAGACGTTTGGGTCAGCTGTGCGATTCTAACCTTACGAACCCGTACTTATCACACATGTCAACAGAACGAAATCCTCGCACCATACCACTTCTGGCTCTATAAAAAAGTTATAGAGCATGAGACCACCCGGATTAGCGCCGGTTGCGATATCCAATTTTAACTCAAAGGTGTTGCGAACAGTACAAGCAATGTCTAAAAGTTGACAAGAAAAGGTGACACGGCCTGGCAAAACCGGGCCTTTTCAAATACTGCATCTATCACTTCGGTGCATAAACGTAGGGAAGTACAGTGGCAAAAGTTTGACAGGGTGATAAGCCATGTATTTTTACGCCGCACATGCGCTATGATTTGGGCTCCCGGTTCCAAAGGCGTTTCGTCTGTTTATCAGAGAAAGGAAAAGGGCGTAAATCTGGCCATTTAGTACGGCGTCGAGACATCATCCCGAACAGCAAGCTGATTGGGTATCACAAATTTCACATGTTCCTTCCAGGTCCGCATCCAACACCGCTTAGTGCGCGTTCCTAAACGCAGTCAAGCGTTTGTTAATTCGATGTAGACTGAAAAAAGCGACTGTGACATGAGCTGGATCCATTTGATCAACGAACGAACGCGCAACGCACTGCCGCTGGGTCGATTCCCCTTCGAAAATCACTGGATTGGTCTCTTGAAATCAAGTGAACCCTTTCCGGTGGTTTTGCTTTGAGGAGGAAGCGGAGGGCTCCGACCATCAGGACTCTTCTGAACCTTGTGCCTCCCCCCCCCCCCCTGATATCAAGGCTTTGGCTGGGCCTCTGCAGTGAATCGCATCGGGAACGGATTGAATATGATTTGGGCTTTCGTCCTCGTCTGATGTACTTTTCAGATCGGACCGCAAGCAATGGGTGATGCCTCAAGCCTAATTTTATAAAATTCCCTTGAAGCTGATAAAGTATGCGTCAGTTAAGTTCGCGACACACTCGTATTCGATCTTGGAAGCGTCGAGTACCGATTCCGCTTAACATGAGCTTAAAGTAAAACACAACCCACTGATAATGAAAATGAGGTCCATCCTGCTTTTTCTCAAACAGGATGAATTCCGGGGGCCAAATGACCAAGTCAAGCACACCGAACCGCCGCTGTATGGCACTAATGTCTTTAAATAATATCTCATCTGAAAGCAAGTCATCAGTTATTGGCTCTGATATTAAGGATTCAAATTTAAAGGTCGATTATAGTGTTTTACAGGTCAAGAAGTAAGTTTTCAAGGTCCAGGTAAAGAGGAGAGTTATATTGCGATCGCATGGGACAAATTTGCACAAATAATACATCATTAGAAAACCCGTTGTCGATTCGAACCTGACTTTCAAAAAAATACCAGAGTCAAAGTCAAAACCCAAGTTCAAATTCAAGGCCAAAGAGCGATGTAGCACCGCACTGTCGCTGTATAGGGCCTTATCTGCACAAATTAAGCATAATTAGAAAGCCCGTTGTAGACTCCAGCCCAGAATATCAAAGCCAATATTGAAGGTCATCTGTAGCGATAAAAGTGGTAGTGGTAGCGGCATAGCGGAAAATTCGTGGTCTTTTACAAAGTCAGTCAAAACCCAAGGTCAAATTCGAAGTGAAAGGATGGGGCGGCGCTGCGCTGCCGCTGTATTGGACTGACCTGTGCAAATGAGGCATCACTGGAAAACCCGTGTTCGATTCCAGCCTGCAAAGAAGTATATTTTCTCCTGCAAGAAGATTGTTAAAATATCAGTGGGGCGCTGACCCCTCCTGTCCGACAAGAGAGGGAGACGTGGGACATGTGGGAGCCAGAAAACGTCAAAGCGGGGCGTGTGAGAAACCCGACCAACCCCGCCAGTGGGCTTGACGAGCAAGTGAGACCTTTCCACCTTTGGCCGATTGGTTTAAAGCAACGCTGAAATCCCCCTCGAGAGTTTGAATCCAAATGTGATTTTTGTTCCGGTTACCTCCATGCGACACAACAATGCTCAGAGTAGATTTATGGGATCTAAGATGAAGCCGACCGCTCTGACCATACCCGCTCGTAACTTGACACTGCCATTTTTTCTGGGGGCGGGGGAGGCAATGGTGCGGTGCATGTTAGGATGTGGCACCTGAGGCGAAGGCTGTGGTCTTGGAAACGACGCAGACTCTCAAGGCTTTTACGGATTAAAAGGGAAGATCGTAAGGTACAGAAATGACAGGCGACGTGGTAACCACCTTCAGGTACGCTGGAGTGGGCCAGAGCGCCCGCAACGTAACGTCGGGACAAAACATCTGTCAATGTCCAAGAGCACTCGCGAAAGCATCAAATGCTCCTGGCACAGATCCACAGCAAGCATCTGATTTGTAACGTTTTTCCGACTCGCGACGGTGATACATTTGAACACTGAATCACCAGAACACAAATCCGTCACCCGGCCCTTTGTGCGTTTCATTTTTAAACACAGTTCATTACCGAAACACATAAATAAAACAACAATATTTTAGTCATCCCTAAGCAATCACTACGCAATATTGAGCTTTCGTGTTTGCCGTTCACGACTCCAAAACGCTCGAGGAATCTTCAGCATGGATTAGCATTTGTTGCAATATGGTATACAAGACGATACCGCGTCCGTGAAATCGGGATATAAAGCAAGGTATTCGGCAAGGGAAGACTGGATTCCACCCATATCTATGGTCCAACCGGCGAAGATATTTCGCTGACGTCACTCAGCGGCTTACTCAGAATATGCGCAAATCACTTGGTGACTTTCCCCTAATATGTAGAGCCTTGACAAAGCCATTGAAAAGGTGCCAAAAAGTGCCCGAAAAGCGCGACCGGTAGGTTGTGAAGTGGATGTTACGGTAAATTTGGTTGTTTATAGAAATTTTTGACGCAGTATGACAGAAGTAATAGGACATTTTTAAACAGGTGTTGCTGACATCTGTTTGTATGCATGCCCGTTATCACAGATCCATAGACCAGTCTGTCAAAAGCGTGCAACGAACTCGGGCCAGATTAAATTGCTCTGTATTTTCTTATTAAAATTGCCAGACAATTTTTTCTGGAAGTAATCCCAGCAACATCACATAACTCCTTGACGCATCGTCCATCCGATATTCTTAGCCAATGTATCTGAGATACATTGGCTAAGAATATCACAATTTATTTCCATTTACTCTGAAATTGGTGGTGACAGTCAGAACGTCAAAATTATTTCCATTTGGGAAGAATCAAGCTCAAATCTATTGCTGGCAGCACCTATTTGCTATATCTGTTACCATGTCCCTTAGCATCCCATGTTGGGAGGGAACTGGCAATGTATTCTCAGTCAGTGTATGCAGTTAAGTTTCAGATACATGTGTACATATATCTATAATATGTTTATATATGTAATGTACAATATTCCCAGGCATAAGTTAATGCCTGCTAATGCCAGAAATTACCTTCAAAGGATTTGGAGTTCCTATGGACTTGTCATAATTGCATTGCAAAAATGTCTAATACACTGACTGTTCCTTTGCATGCATTTGCTGTTTTCTCTCTGAATGATGTTCTTAATACAGAAATCACTATTGTATGGTGTTACAGAAGAACGGGAAGCTTCATGAGATACCAAGATGCCTTACACTGAGAGCTACATCAAAGAAAAGCTTACAAGCGGACTCGAGGCATTGCATGTGGTGAGTAGGATTGCTCTTAATCATCATAACTGCACCATCAGTGGCCATCATTTTAAGCATAATTAGGCATGTTTGTGTTGGCAGCAGCATCTGCTGGAGACATACACTGAGGTTTGGGTGCCCATATCTGCAAGAATTGTGTGAAGCACAGTGATTTGGCCAAAGACTTGCTTGCAGAACCACATACCAATTTTCCAAAGAAAGAAGACTACTGCTATTAAGAGCCCGATCAGTGGAATGACGATCAGTGGAATGACGTGCCTGACTTGGCATATATCAGCTGCGCCCGGAGGTTGGACGCCGGATGGTTGGAGGTCGTTCGTCGCTGCTCACTTTATCCACTGGTCAGCTTTGGAGAGCGGGAGTCCAGCGCATCTGAAAACCAAAGCTTAGTTGCCAGTTGTCTGTCCACGCCCCCAGCGAGATGTCCATGTGGAGGACGTGACGGTGGCGAAACCGGGAGCTGAGTGAGAGCCGTGCCATTTCCCGTCACGTTGAGTGCACTGGATGTATAACATCGGATGTATCTTGTCATGTGGGTGGCTCCATTTGTCAGTCCGCCGTCGTACCGGGCGTTAGACTGAGTGGGAGCGGAGCATTTGCGTTGCGAAGGGGTAAACCTTTCCCCTGCCCTCCCTTAGATGTGGTGCAGGCTCCTCTGGAGCCAAAGGCCCTATAGGCCCATTACTTGTTGTCAGTTCATTAAAAAATGGGCTCCTGATGCATAAAGATAGAATCCAGAGCCTAAAAGAGCTTCCGAAGCCAAAAGCAGGACCCCTATGGTGACGAATGGGGTCCTTTGAAGCCATCTTCATGACCCGGTCTTGCCTCCCCCCCCCCCCCCTGCACCAAATTTTGAAGATGCCAGTGCAGTGGGATGCGCCACTGCCTTGCGCCCAATAATAGAATCCGCAATAATCCGCATCGGAAGTTGCGGAGGCCGCCGGAAGTTTCGACTGCCGCGCGTCTACCAATACGGCGGATGTGAGGCAGATATGGGCCCCGTGACTTGCCGATCTCATCTGCCGACACTGCGCATATGGTGTAAATGGCGGCACGCGAGAGCGCATGGTAACGGGTCTCGTCCCAGTTGTCCAAACATGGAGACCGTTCTGGCTAGTCTGGCGGTGGTGAAATGAAATATTCAGTGGTTTGTTTCACCGAGCCTACACTCAATAAGCGCATTCAAGGATGCCCTTTCGTACAGTGTTGCGAATTCGAAAGATTTCCTGGTAGCGGAGTAACATTTTCTATAATGGAGTTCAAAATTATCCAAGTGCTGCGGGCCATTACAGCTTTATTTTCGTTATCTTTGAGAGATAGTAGGACAGTGGGTGGCACTCAACATAAGCGCCACTTTTCATATACAGGAAGTCATGTAAAAGCACTTTAAATGAAAGGAAACATCAGTATCAAACATGAGACACTGTAACAACACAGTCTCATACTCTGTACTATAAAACACATGTGCATATACTTTGGTTTGCAATTTAGGAAAGGCTCTGTGTATACACCCTCCAAAACGGAGGGTAGTTACGCATCGGGCTTATACACCCTCCAAAAGGGAGGGTGGGTACGATACGCACAGCCAGACAAAAATGGTACGCAACAAATGCGAATGAACATGCCACAGACGGCCACCTACTCATACTTCACCACGATCATGCTACTCACGCTTCACCACGGTCACGCTACTCACGCTCCACCAGCTAACTGGTTTTAAAAACAGCTAAGCATTCGTGCCCTCCACCTTTCCACTCCCGGTCAACACGCGAGGCACTGCACGTCCCACCCGAACAGTAGAGACAGGCGTCACTCTTAACCGATTTACCGAGCCAACGCAAGTACAATGCCTGACAGACCCGTGTGGGCCGGCCAAAAGGGTTTGAAGTCAGTCGCTCCGCTGACGCCGGCGGATAATGCAAGGTATTTATGGATTTTGATGCGCTTTGACCGATATCATTGCGAAATATGATAATTTATGTTGCAATTAATTGATGTTTTTGTCCTAATAAACCCCTCTCCTTAATTTGGCGGACCAAAGTGATGGGTTCATGTTACTTGGTGTCCTGGTGTTTTTGCCGGAGTAAGATGACTGTCTCCGAACAGTTTTTGGCTATTTATAGCAACGTTTGTCGACTTAAAAGGGCATTTTTGTAAAGGCTGAATTACCAGCTTCAATTTCACACCCGTAAGTGACAAATTGAACTTGGTTTAAATCCACAGCTGCCGTAACATTTTTATTCTCCGGATGCCAGGAAGTGGCCAAAAATCCAACCGCATGGCGGTTCTGGATGAGTACAATTAAGTCCTTCATAATCGTGGTGCCCATCTCCATACAGCTTCCCTCCAAATGCGTACAAATCTGTTCAAGGCATGAGCGCGAGCAGAATATTTATGCTCTTGACAAATCAGTCACGAGGAGGCGAATCATTAAAACCAATTGGAGAGTTTTGCTATGTTCAACCTCCAACCTGAGCTGGGAGACGGGCGCAAGCCGCTGAATAGTTGAGACGTTTCCGACGCTGAATTGCGAGTGATTCTCTTATTTGCATTGTTATGACACAGTGGTGGCGCGTGGGTAGGCGACCGTCTACGGTAGGTGGTTGGGCGTGCGGTTTTCTATGAATGTTCGTTGCATCCTTGGCAATTAATGCGGGTCGTCGTCACTGGTAGGTTAAGTCATGTTCAAGTTTGAGTTGGTCTGCGTAGGGCATAGGAAGTGAGCTTTGCTGACCTACAGACCGGTGCGATTTTGGTACTCGTTTCGCATTCCCCGGTATTGTTCAAAGGCGATTCCATTCAACATTCACACGCTTTATTTTTCACATTTCCATACATGGTTCACCATATACCTGGGTGGCAGCACAGGCCGCTTGCTACTGGGCATCTTAGTCTGGTGGGTGCAAGATTTGTGCCCTTGCAGATATCAATACATGGCCCCTGATGGAAGCAGCAAGTCTCAAGCTGGTGCACCTTCTGGTTTTATTTTGTCCCGACACAAAGAGGTAAAATGAGTTTTTCTAAAAGCTGTTCTTGTTGCATCATGATGGAGTACATTGTATTTCATTTTACCTAGTCACAATCCTGGATTACAAAATCTCCTGGTATACATTGTACCAGAAAACGTCAAGTTTTCCAACACTGCTTTCGTATCTTGCAAAGTGGTTCTGATTTCGCAGATGTTGCGTGAGGTCGAATCTTTTAAAGGCTGCAGTCAGAATGACAGATGCTGTTATGCACGGCGAATGGGAAGACGCCGTTTGCATGGCTCACCGGTAGTCGGTGACGCGACCCATATGCCGTTTGTTTGGATGTGGGTGCCACGAGATCTGCGATGAGAGGCGATGGTGCGTGGCCACCGCAACAGATTGGCGTTAGTCAGCAGTTTGACGCGTCCTGCTTCCGGCCAGCCAGCAGCTGCGTCAACACCCGAGCGATGGGCTACCCCGCATTGTTGTCGCATTGCAGCGTGCGGGCTTGCCTATGAGATCAACGCGGAGTGCTCTCGGTTACAGGACGCCCCACTGCTGGGAAGTCCAGTGACCGAAAATAGCAGGCGCTGATAGGGGAGCATGTCTTGCGAAAGAACAAATCACATGCAGAAACGGCCGAAATAGAATACGGACATCGTCTTGACGATGCTTACGTCGGCCCGGCACGGCCACGTATCGAGTTCCTCCCACTGCCCAGTCGGGCGCTGCTTCGGCTGAATTCCCGCCTGGCTGGCTGCGCAGCAGTCCGTCCTCTGGCAGGGCTGACCGCTTCGCCTGTCCCGCTGGCGAGCGCCGAGTGAGCTCTGGCGGTGGTTTTCCCCGACACCGTCCGCTCGAGCTCCAGCATCCGCCGGCCGGGGTGGCCCGCGCCCGGTCCGTCTCGGTGCCGTCGCTGCGGGCGTCCCGGACGTGGCCCTCCAGTAGCTGGTGTCGATGTCACACTGCCGACGCTGCGATGATGGGTGTCTGACACACTGGCGGCGTCGCGGCCCGGCGCGCGGGGGCGGCCCGCCGGTGGCCGGGCGCGCGCGTGACCGTGCCCGGTCCGGCCGACAGGAAATGATGTCGAGCCCTCCGACGGCCCGGCGCCGTGACGTGTCGACGCCTGGCTGTCCGCCGATGCTGACTGGCAGCGAACTCGGGTCTGGGCGTGGCTTTCGTTGGTTCCCGTGTCTCTTTTGAAAAAGAACGGGAAGAAAATTGTGCTTCAGGTTTTCTTTGGGCGCTGATTTTATTTACTTTGCTGTTTTTTTTGTCGTCTCTGTGGTCTAGGGAAAAGATGCTGGACTCGCAATCCAGCGGCGCTGAATAGGAGTCCCAGAGATGGGGCATTGCTTGGCTCGACTAAAATCGGAAGGTCACCTGGAAACTGGCCAATGATGGTGAGCCCTCACCTGGGGCGGCCGTGTCGCGGCATTGTGCGGTACGTAAAACCCTCCACACTCCTGTTTGGCGCAAGGGCGGAGGCGAAATCAATCGTTGAACTGAACGGTACGACTTGGGTGGTGCGTTCAGGGTACACGCAATAAGCTATGCTGAGCAGGTACTCCGAACCCAAAGTCACTCATACAAACCATTCGGAATAAATTAAGATAATGTTTGTTCTGTCTTCACCGGTTGCTTCGCCGGCGGGGGGGGGGGGGTTGAGGTTCGGGGTCTGGGTACGGGGGTTAGGCTTGGATTCAGGCTTGGACTTGGGCTTGAGCTTGGGGGTGGGAGGTGGGGAAAGGTCAGGGACATGACTCATTGGAGCTTGGCTGGTCCCCATAACGACGTTCCCACTGTTTCAGCGGTTCTTTTCATCCATGCTATGCTATTAGCTGCACCACATACATCAAGTCCTATGGATGGTTTTTCTCAGCACCATTTATGCCATTGGTGTAATTGATGTTTCAGAGACGGAAAGCGATGCGTACCCTGCAATTATTGCATGGGTTTTGTAACGATGACGCATGGCCTTCCTTTGGATACCTGTCAAGCTGTGTCGGTCGTCTCACAGAATTC